CTCTCCAGTACTTGAAGGATAATGTCTTCACTGCCTCTGCCGGAAGCAGACACCTGGAAGGAGCTCAACAGGTGCTAATATTGCTAAGTGGTGGAAGATCCTTTGACAGTGTGGACGAACCAGCCACTGCTCTCAAACAGATGGGTGTTTTGATCTTTGCAATTGGAAGTAGAGGCTCTGACATTAGAGAACTGCAGAAAGTGTCCAGCGAACCCAGTTATGCTGTATCTGTGCCCGAGCTAACTGACCTTCAGAGTGTTCAACAGCAGCTTCTGACCTTCGTAGACGCTGTGGTTACTGACACCACAGCAGAATCTTCCCATGTACCTGGTATGTTGTGCAGCGTAGTGTCTTGATGGACCAAATAGCTGCATGTTTTGTTTTAATTGTGACAAGAAAGAAAACAAGGTCTTATGCAAACTTACTTCTCTGTGAGCCTTTTATGACAACTGATGGTGGGGTTTCCATCTGCTTACTTGCAATCTAAAAAGGACGAGATGCCTTTGTAGATGCAGTCCCACGATTGCTCATTAGCAGATGAGGCTTCTTTTACAAAGATCTTTAACTTTTGTAAACTCTTTTCTCTTAGTTCACACTGCCAAAAAGGATGTTGTGTTCCTCCTTGATGGTTCAGATGGCACAAGGAATGGCTTCCCTGCCATGCGTGATTTTATTGAAAGAGTGGTGGAGAAACTCGATGTGGACCACAACAGAGATCGTGTGGCCGTTGTTCAGTTCAGCAGAGACGCTGAGGTCCATTTTAATCTGAATGCACATAGAACAAGGGAGGACATTGTGGATGCAGTGAGAAGACTACAGCACAGAGGAGGAAGGCCCCTGAACACGGGGGCAGCCCTCCAATATGTCAGGGACAATGTGTTGACAAACTCCTCAGGGAGTGGGCACCATCAGGGTGTTCCACAGACGCTGGTCCTGATAACAGGGGGAAGGTCTTTTGACAACGTAGATGCCCCGGCCAATGCTCTCAAACAGCAGGGTGTCTTTGTGATTGGCATTGGAACCAGGACATCTGACAGTAGAGAGCTGCAGAGGTTATCTTATGAGCCTAGATACGCTCTCGCAGTATCCGAGTTCACTGACTTGCCCAGTGTCCAAGAACAGCTCTCTTCAGTAATGAGCACGGTTCAACTGAGGCCTACTACACCTTTGACCACAGTAGTGACTGGTAAGACAGTGATTCAATACATCTTCTATAATCTTGCCAAAACACATAGTAAACTATAATTTTTTTAGACTTGTTTAACTCTGCCTATGCATGTGAAATTCTAAAAAAGTAACAGTTCTGGTAGAAAGAGACAAACTTTCTAAGCAAACAGTTGGCTTTTATTATTCGACTCTCATGTAGGTACGTTTTATCATGCATAGCTAAGAATGTTTTAATTCTTTTGTTCCCTAGTGGTGAGACAACCAGCTGGAAAGGATTTGGTCTTCTTGCTTGATGGATCTGATGGCACTAGAACTGGCTTCACAGCTTTGAGAGACTTTGTGCAGAGAGTAGTAGAGACACTCTATGTGGATGAAAACAAAGACCGTGTCTCAGTGGTTCAGTACAGCAGAGATCCATCTGTCCAGTTCTATTTTAACACATACACAACCAAAAGCGAGATGCTTGAAGCTGTCAGAGGTATGAGGCACAAAGGAGGAAGACCTCTCAATACTGGAGCAGCTCTCCAGTACTTGAAGGATAATGTCTTCACTGCCTCTGCCGGAAGCAGACACCTGGAAGGAGCTCAACAGGTGCTAATATTGCTAAGTGGTGGAAGATCCTTTGACAGTGTGGACGAACCAGCCACTGCTCTCAAACAGATGGGTGTTTTGATCTTTGCAATTGGAAGTAGAGGCTCTGACATTAGAGAACTGCAGAAAGTGTCCAGCGAACCCAGTTACGCTGTATCTGTGCCTGAGCTAACTGACCTTCAGAGTGTTCAACAGCAGCTTCTGACCTCCGTAGACGCTGTGGTTACTGACGCCACAGCAGAATCTTCCCATGTACCTGGTATGTTGTGAAGCGTAGTGTCTTGATGGACCAAATAGCTGCATGTTTTGTTTTAATTGTGACAAGAAAGAAAACAAGGTCTTATGCAAACTTACTTCTCTGTGAGCCTTTTATGACAACTGATGGTGGGGTTTCCATCTGCTTACTTGCAATCTAAAAAGGACGAGATGCCTTTGTAGATGCAGTCCCACGATTGCTCATTAGCAGATGAGGCTTCTTTTACAAAGATCTTTAACTTTTGTAAACTCTTTTCTCTTAGTTCACACTGCCAAAAAGGATGTTGTGTTCCTCCTTGATGGTTCAGATGGCACAAGGAATGGCTTCCCTGCCATGCGTGATTTTATTGAAAGAGTGGTGGAGAAACTCGATGTGGACCACAACAGAGATCGTGTGGCCGTTGTTCAGTTCAGCAGAGACGCTGAGGTCCATTTTAATCTGAATGCACATAGAACAAGGGAGGACATTGTGGATGCAGTGAGAAGACTACAGCACAGAGGAGGAAGACCCCTGAACACGGGGGCAGCCCTCCAATATGTCAGGGACAATGTGTTGACAAACTCCTCAGGGAGTAGGCACCATCAGGGTGTTCCACAGACGCTGGTCCTGATAACAGGGGGAAGGTCTTTTGACAACGTAGATGCCCCGGCCAATGCTCTCAAACAGCAGGGTGTCTTTGTGATTGGCATTGGAACCAGGACATCTGACAGTAGAGAGCTGCAGAGGTTATCTTATGAGCCTAGATACGCTCTCGCAGTATCCGAGTTCACTGACTTGCCCAGTGTCCAAGAACAGCTCTCTTCAGTAATGAGCACGGTTCAACTGAGGCCTACTACACCTTTGACCACAGTAGTGACTGGTAAGACAGTGATTCAATACATATTCTATAATCTTGCCAAAACACATAGTAAACTATAATTTTTTTAGACTTGTTTAACTCTGCCTATGCATGTGAAATTCTAAAAAAGTAACAGTTCTGGTAGAAAGAGACAAACTTTCTAAGCAAGCAGTTGGCTTTTATTATTCGACTCTCATGTAGGTACGTTTTATCATGCATAGCTAAGAATGTTTTAATTCTTATGTTCCCTAGTGGTGAGACAACCAGCTGGAAAGGATTTGGTCTTCTTGCTTGATGGATCTGATGGCACTAGAACTGGCTTCACAGCTTTGAGAGACTTTGTGCAGAGAGTAGTAGAGACACTCAATGTGGATGAAAACAAAGACCGTGTCTCAGTGGTTCAGTACAGCAGAGATCCATCTGTCCAGTTCTATTTTAACACGTACACAACCAAAAGCGAGATGCTTGAAGCTGTCAGAGGTATGAGGCACAAAGGAGGAAGACCTCTCAATACTGGAGCAGCTCTCCAGTACTTGAAGGATAATGTCTTCACTGCCTCTGCCGGAAGCAGACACCTGGAAGGAGCTCAACAGGTGCTAATATTGCTAAGTGGTGGAAGATCCTTTGACAGTGTGGACGAACCAGCCACTGCTCTCAAACAGATGGGTGTTCTGATCTTTGCAATTGGAAGTAGAGGCTCTGACATTAGAGAACTGCAGAAAGTGTCCAGCGAACCCAGTTACGCTGTATCTGTGCCTGAGCTAACTGACCTTCAGAGTGTTCAACAGCAGCTTCTGACCTCCGTAGACGCTGTGGTTACTGACGCCACAGCAGAATCTTCCCATGTACCTGGTATGTTGTGAAGCGTAGTGTCTTGATGGACCAAATAGCTGCATGTTTTGTTTTAATTGTGACAAGAAAGAAAACAAGGTCTTATGCAAACTTACTTCTCTGTGAGCCTTTTATGACAACTGATGGTGGGGTTTCCATCTGCTTACTTGCAATCTAAAAAGGACGAGATGCCTTTGTAGATGCAGTCCCACGATTGCTCATTAGCAGATGAGGCTTCTTTTACAAAGATCTTTAACTTTTGTAAACTCTTTTCTCTTAGTTCACACTGCCAAAAAGGATGTTGTGTTCCTCCTTGATGGTTCAGATGGCACAAGGAATGGCTTCCCTGCCATGCGTGATTTTATTGAAAGAGTGGTGGAGAAACTCGATGTGGACCACAACAGAGATCGTGTGGCCGTTGTTCAGTTCAGCAGAGACGCTGAGGTCCATTTTAATCTGAATGCACATAGAACAAGGGAGGACATTGTGGATGCAGTGAGAAGACTACAGCACAGAGGAGGAAGACCCCTGAACACGGGGGCAGCCCTCCAATATGTCAGGGACAATGTGTTGACAAACTCCTCAGGGAGTAGGCACCATCAGGGTGTTCCACAGACGCTGGTCCTGATAACAGGGGGAAGGTCTTTTGACAACGTAGATGCCCCGGCCAATGCTCTCAAACAGCAGGGTGTCTTTGTGATTGGCATTGGAACCAGGACATCTGACAGTAGAGAGCTGCAGAGGTTATCTTATGAGCCTAGATACGCTCTCGCAGTATCCGAGTTCACTGACTTGCCCAGTGTCCAAGAACAGCTCTCTTCAGTAATGAGCACGGTTCAACTGAGGCCTACTACACCTTTGACCACAGTAGTGACTGGTAAGACAGTGATTCAATACATCTTCTATAATCTTGCCAAAACACATAGTAAACTATAATTTTTTTAGACTTGTTTAACTCTGCCTATGCATGTGAAATTCTAAAAAAGTAACAGTTCTGGTAGAAAGAGACAAACTTTCTAAGCAAACAGTTGGCTTTTATTATTCGACTCTCATGTAGGTACGTTTTATCATGCATAGCTAAGAATGTTTTAATTCTTATGTTCCCTAGTGGTGAGACAACCAGCTGGAAAGGATTTGGTCTTCTTGCTTGATGGATCTGATGGCACTAGAACTGGCTTCACAGCTTTGAGAGACTTTGTGCAGAGAGTAGTAGAGACACTCAATGTGGATGAAAACAAAGACCGTGTCTCAGTGGTTCAGTACAGCAGAGATCCATCTGTCCAGTTCTATTTTAACACGTACACAACCAAAAGCGAGATGCTTGAAGCTGTCAGAGGTATGAGGCACAAAGGAGGAAGACCTCTCAATACTGGAGCAGCTCTCCAGTACTTGAAGGATAATGTCTTCACTGCCTCTGCCGGAAGCAGACACCTGGAAGGAGCTCAACAGGTGCTAATATTGCTAAGTGGTGGAAGATCCTTTGACAGTCTGGACGAACCAGCCACTGCTCTCAAACAGATGGGTGTTTTGATCTTTGCAATTGGAAGTAGAGGCTCTGACATTAGAGAACTGCAGAAAGTGTCCAGCGAACCCAGTTACGCTGTATCTGTGCCTGAGCTAACTGACCTTCAGAGTGTTCAACAGCAGCTTCTGACCTTCGTAGACGCTGTGGTTACTGACGCCACAGCAGAATCTTCCCATGTACCTGGTATGTTGTGAAGCGTAGTGTCTTGATGGACCAAATAGCTGCATGTTTTGTTTTAATTGTGACAAGAAAGAAAACAAGGTCTTATGCAAACTTACTTCTCTGTGAGCCTTTTATGACAACTGATGGTGGGGTTTCCATCTGCTTACTTGCAATCTAAAAAGGACGAGATGCCTTTGTAGATGCAGTCCCACGATTGCTCATTAGCAGATGAGGCTTCTTTTACAAAGATCTTTAACTTTTGTAAACTCTTTTCTCTTAGTTCACACTGCCAAAAAGGATGTTGTGTTCCTCCTTGATGGTTCAGATGGCACAAGGAATGGCTTCCCTGCCATGCGTGATTTTATTGAAAGAGTGGTGGAGAAACTCGATGTGGACCACAACAGAGATCGTGTGGCCGTTGTTCAGTTCAGCAGAGACGCTGAGGTCCATTTTAATCTGAATGCACATAGAACAAGGGAGGACATTGTGGATGCAGTGAGAAGACTACAGCACAGAGGAGGAAGACCCCTGAACACGGGGGCAGCCCTCCAATATGTCAGGGACAATGTGTTGACAAACTCCTCAGGGAGTAGGCACCATCAGGGTGTTCCACAGACGCTGGTCCTGATAACAGGGGGAAGGTCTTTTGACAATGTAGATGCCCCGGCCAATGCTCTCAAACAGCAGGGTGTCTTTGTGATTGGCATTGGAACCAGGACATCTGACAGTAGAGAGCTGCAGAGGTTATCTTATGAGCCTAGATACGCTCTCGCAGTGTCCGAGTTCACTGACTTGCCCAGTGTCCAAGAACAGCTCTCTTCAGTAATGAGCACGGTTCAACTGAGGCCTACTACACCTTTGACCACAGTAGTGACTGGTAAGACAGTGATTCAATACATCTTCTATAATCTTGCCAAAACACATAGTAAACTATAATTTTTTTAGACTTGTTTAACTCTGCCTATGCATGTGAAATTCTAAAAAAGTAACAGTTCTGGTAGAAAGAGACAAACTTTCTAAGCAAACAGTTGGCTTTTATTATTCGACTCTCATGTAGGTACGTTTTATCATGCATAGCTAAGAATGTTTTAATTCTTATGTTCCCTAGTGGTGAGACAACCAGCTGGAAAGGATTTGGTCTTCTTGCTTGATGGATCTGATGGCACTAGAACTGGCTTCACAGCTTTGAGAGACTTTGTGCAGAGAGTAGTAGAGACACTCTATGTGGATGAAAACAAAGACCGTGTCTCAGTGGTTCAGTACAGCAGAGATCCATCTGTCCAGTTCTATTTTAACACGTACACAACCAAAAGCGAGATGCTTGAAGCTGTCAGAGGTATGAGGCACAAAGGAGGAAGACCTCTCAATACTGGAGCAGCTCTCCAGTACTTGAAGGATAATGTCTTCACTGCCTCTGCCGGAAGCAGACACCTGGAAGGAGCTCAACAGGTGCTAATATTGCTAAGTGGTGGAAGATCCTTTGACAGTGTGGACGAACCAGCCACTGCTCTCAAACAGATGGGTGTTTTGATCTTTGCAATTGGAAGTAGAGGCTCTGACATTAGAGAACTGCAGAAAGTGTCCAGCGAACCCAGTTACGCTGTATCTGTGCCCGAGCTAACTGACCTTCAGAGTGTTCAACAGCAGCTTCTGACCTTCGTAGACGCTGTGGTTACTGACACCACAGCAGAATCTTCCCATGTACCTGGTATGTTGTGAAGCGTAGTGTCTTGATGGACCAAATAGCTGCATGTTTTGTTTTAATTGTGACAAGAAAGAAAACAAGGTCTTATGCAAACTTACTTCTCTGTGAGCCTTTTATGACAACTGATGGTGGGGTTTCCATCTGCTTACTTGCAATCTAAAAAGGACAAGATGCCTTTGTAGATGCAGTCCCACGATTGCTCATTAGCAGATGAGGCTTCTTTTACAAAGATCTTTAACTTTTGTAAACTCTTTTCTCTTAGTTCACACTGCCAAAAAGGATGTTGTGTTCCTCCTTGATGGTTCAGATGGCACAAGGAATGGCTTCCCTGCCATGCGTGATTTTATTGAAAGAGTGGTGGAGAAACTCGATGTGGACCACAACAGAGATCGTGTGGCCGTTGTTCAGTTCAGCAGAGACGCTGAGGTCCATTTTAATCTGAATGCACATAGAACAAGGGAGGACATTGTGGATGCAGTGAGAAGACTACAGCACAGAGGAGGAAGGCCCCTGAACACGGGGGCAGCCCTCCAATATGTCAGGGACAACGTGTTGACAAACTCCTCAGGGAGTAGGCACCATCAGGGTGTTCCACAGACGCTGGTCCTGATAACAGGGGGAAGGTCTTTTGACAACGTAGATGCCCCGGCCAATGCTCTCAAACAGCAGGGTGTCTTTGTGATTGGCATTGGAACCAGGACATCTGACAGTAGAGAGCTGCAGAGGTTATCTTATGAGCCTAGATACGCTCTCGCTGTGTCCGAGTTCACTGACTTGCCCAGTGTCCAAGAACAGCTCTCTTCAGTAATGAGCACGGTTCAACTGAGGCCTACTACACCTTTGACCACAGTAGTGACTGGTAAGACAGTGATTCAATACATCTTCTATAATCTTGCCAAAACACATAGTAAACTATAATTTTTTAGACTTGTTTAACTCTGCCTATGCATGTGAAATTCTAAAAAAGTAACAGTTCTGGTAGAAAGAGACAAACTTTCTAAGCAAACAGTTGGCTTTTATTATTCGACTCTCATGTAGGTACGTTTTATCATGCATAGCTAAGAATGTTTTAATTCTTATGTTCCCTAGTGGTGAGACAACCAGCTGGAAAGGATTTGGTCTTCTTGCTTGATGGATCTGATGGCACTAGAACTGGCTTCACAGCTTTGAGAGACTTTGTGCAGAGAGTAGTAGAGACACTCAATGTGGATGAAAACAAAGACCGTGTCTCAGTGGTTCAGTACAGCAGAGATCCATCTGTCCAGTTCTATTTTAACACGTACACAACCAAAAGCGAGATGCTTGAAGCTGTCAGAGGTATGAGGCACAAAGGAGGAAGACCTCTCAATACTGGAGCAGCTCTCCAGTACTTGAAGGATAATGTCTTCACTGCCTCTGCCGGAAGCAGACACCTGGAAGGAGCTCAACAGGTGCTAATATTGCTAAGTGGTGGAAGATCCTTTGACAGTGTGGACGAACCAGCCACTGCTCTCAAACAGATGGGTGTTTTGATCTTTGCAATTGGAAGTAGAGGCTCTGACATTAGAGAACTGCAGAAAGTGTCCAGCGAACCCAGTTACGCTGTATCTGTGCCTGAGCTAACTGACCTTCAGAGTGTTCAACAGCAGCTTCTGACCTCCGTAGACGCTGTGGTTACTGACGCCACAGCAGAATCTTCCCATGTACCTGGTATGTTGTGAAGCGTAGTGTCTTGATGGACCAAATAGCTGCATGTTTTGTTTTAATTGTGACAAGAAAGAAAACAAGGTCTTATGCAAACTTACTTCTCTGTGAGCCTTTTATGACAACTGATGGTGGGGTTTCCATCTGCTTACTTGCAATCTAAAAAGGACGAAATGCCTTTGTAGATGCAGTCCCACGATTGCTCATTAGCAGATGAGGCTTCTTTTACAAAGATCTTTAACTTTTGTAAACTCTTTTCTCTTAGTTCACACTGCCAAAAAGGATGTTGTGTTCCTCCTTGATGGTTCAGATGGCACAAGGAATGGCTTCCCTGCCATGCGTGATTTTATTGAAAGAGTGGTGGAGAAACTCGATGTGGACCACAACAGAGATCATGTGGCCGTTGTTCAGTTCAGCAGAGACGCTGAGGTCCATTTTAATCTGAATGCACATAGAACAAGGGAGGACATTGTGGATGCAGTGAGAAGACTACAGCACAGAGGAGGAAGACCCCTGAACACGGGGGCAGCCCTCCAATATGTCAGGGACAATGTGTTGACAAACTCCTCAGGGAGTAGGCACCATCAGGGTGTTCCACAGACGCTGGTCCTGATAACAGGGGGAAGGTCTTTTGACAACGTAGATGCCCCGGCCAATGCTCTCAAACAGCAGGGTGTCTTTGTGATTGGCATTGGAACCAGGACATCTGACAGTAGAGAGCTGCAGAGGTTATCTTATGAGCCTAGATACGCTCTCGCAGTGTCCGAGTTCACTGACTTGCCTAGTGTCCAAGAACAGCTCTCTTCAGTAATCAGCATGGTTCAACTGAGGCCTACTACACCTTTGACCCCAGTAGTGACTGGTAAGAAAGTGACTCAATACATCTTCTATGATCTTTCCAAAACACATTGTAAACTACTGTATTGACCCGAATTTAAGGCGAGGTTTTTGTCATTGACAATTATTTTAAAATGTGGGGTCGTCTTATAATCGGGGCCTAACCATTAGGGATGCACCGATGGATCGACATTTGATCGCAATCGGCCGATAGCGCCCCTATCGGTTTTGATCGGAGTTTCCAAAATAGATCAAAGCAGACTGATCAGGTAGGGTTGTCACGGTAACCAGTGTAGCGGTAAACCTCGGTAAAAAAAAGAAAGTTGACAATAATAATAACCGTCTTGTTTTTTTAAAAAACTATATTGTCTTGGTGGGTTTACCGTGGCTGCGGTGTAGGAGTGGTGACCCTTACCAGCCACCGTATCATCTGCTGAAGTTGCAGGACCGGCGGCACATGCACGCTTTGCTGTTTACAACCAAGACTTTCTTGAAGACAAAGCTGAAATAATGGCCAAAGGAGGAGACGGCAGCGCTCAAGAGGACATTTTTTATCCCTCAAAGAAGACAAAGTGGGAAGTACGGGCATCTTTTAGATATCTGAAGAATGCTGAGGGAGTTTATAGAAGACGGCTATCCTGTTTGCAGCAAGTGCAGAAAAAGAGTCTGTGAAAGGCAGCAACGCTTCAAATCTCATGACACATCTGCGTGACCATCACCCACAACTCTACAGTCAACGCAAGGCAAGCTAACGTTAGCGTTTTAGCTAAAATGCGTGATCCGAGGATTTGGGTTGAGGGAGAATGCAACGAGTTGCTATATAAAGCAGCCGCAGCGCTGCTACCTGCATATAAACCGTGTCGCGGACACCGCCATGTTGAAATGACGCTATGCATTACGGGGCTCCCAGGGGCAGATAAGGGGTGGTCTCTCTCCGAGAATAATTATGAATTTAACAACGATTACTGCCTGATGACATTTTCCCACATCTGCAAAGCTCACTGGAAGGACACAAACCGAGGACAATATTTTCCTGATATAGGGTTCATTACTCAAGTAAGGGTAAAAAAAAGTATCTGATTAGAAGGCTACTTGAGTACGGAGTATCATCTGAACTAATATTTTTTAAATGATGACATCAAACAGACATAAAATAAGAAGTTATGGGTGAATATTGGTATTTTAAAGACTAAAGGGAAAAAATGTAAACAAATAAACAACATCATTACAAAATAACACATTTTAGGCAAAATTTTGACACAAACTGAGGACAATATTTCCTGACATACAGGGTTTATTTAATTGTGTGAAAATGTAGCACGTTTTAAAAAAATACCGCGATAATACCAAAAACCGTGGTTATTTTGGTCACAATAACCATGAGGTTAAATTTTCACACCGTGACAACCCTAATACAGACCATTTTAGATTACATTGCATTTCCTTTATTCCCAGATTATGTAGTTTGTAGCACTCATTATAATGTTGTAGAAAATTTCTGGCCAATCCACGTGATTGGTATCGGTGATCAGCATTATTTGATATCGGTATCGGTGATCGGCAGCAAAAAACCTGATCAGTGCATCCCTACTAACCATTACACGCCTGTAACAGCAGAGGTCGCCACGATGCATGTTCTCAACAAGAGAAAAAAATGGAGACGACAGGTTCCGGGCAGAGTGGACTGAAAGTCGGACAAGTTAAAAAGCTATAAGCCAGAGTTATGCAAATTTTAAGATGGCAGTTGTCAAATTAGCAGAGGCGTCAAACATTGCATACATGGATGCATTGGATGACAGTGAGGATGATGTACTGGGAGGAGTCAGCAGGTTTAGCGATATGATGGTACACCTGGACAGCAGCAGCATGAGTGAGAATGAGAGTGAGTGAGTACAGCGAGGTAGAGGGCGTCTGAATAAAAGCCTCATATGACTTTTTCATGTCAGCAACGTTCTGATAGTTTGCAATAAAATAATATTTTTTGTCGGTATTTTTTGTCAAATTTTCAATAAAAATAGTTTTTCCCAAAAGTTATTTTTTTGTCTTTTCCTGAAGATTAGTCTTTGAAAGGGGGGTGGGGTGGGGGTGGGGGTCATCTTATAATCGGGGTCATCCTATATTTGGGTCAAAACTGTATATTTTGTATATGTGAACTCTTTAGAAAGTAACTATTCTAGTAGAAAGAGGCAAATTTCTAAGCAAGTAAGCTTTCAATATTGGATTCTCATGTAGGTACATTTTATCATCCAGTGCTAAAATTGTTTTGATTGTTTTGTTTCCTGCAATATTCTTTAATAAATATCTTATTCAAGCCCTTGTCCTTTTTCACGTTTTGTTTTGTTGAACATCATAGTTTTTATTGCTTCAATGTCGCACAGAACACGAGAGTATCAGTTTTTAGTTTTTTAGTTTTAGTTTTCGTCAGTTAACACATTTCAACCACCTATTCTTTCCGGCTCTCACACAAAATGGCTCTAACAATGTTACAATGTTATGAAATATTTCTTGAATGATTTTTATGTAATGTCATCAAAAGTTTTTTTTTTGTCTGAGAATAGTTCTTTTTTCTCATTCAGCTGTATCACAGGGCCCCAAGAAGGATATCGTTTTCCTTGTTGATGGATCTGATAGTGTTGGACGGGAATTTGCCATCATCCAGGAGTTTATTCGCAGGGTGGTTGAGAGTCTCAATGTGGGTGAAAACAAGATCCGGATTGGTGTGGTTCAATATGGGGACTCTGCTCAGGCTGACATGCATCTGAATATGCATACAACAAAAGAGGGTGTTTTGGATGGCATCAGAGAAATGCAGCAAAGAGGAGGAAGGCAGCGTAACCTGGGCCGGGCCTTACAATTTCTCAAACAGAATGCTTTAACGCCAGCAAGAGGTAGCAGGAGTCAAGAAGGTGTGCCTCAATTTGTGATTGTTGTCTCCAGTGGGCCCTCTACAGATGATTTCAGTCAAGCAGCTTCTTCCCTTAAACAGTCTAGGATTATTCCTTTCAGTATTGGTACTAGGGATATCAACCAAAGAGAGCTGCAGGTTGTGTCATATGTGTCTCGTTATGCCTTCCCCGTGGATGACCTTCCTGGCTTGTACAGAGTCCAAGAACCCCTAATCAATACTTTAACAGAGTTATCAGATGATGACATCTCAAGGTTGAGGCCAGAGTTTCCATTTTATGAAGGTAATTTGATTAAATTTGTCTAAATGCAAATTTGTCTAAAGCATATATTCTATTATTAATTTTATATGTAGTCAATATAAGTTGTTTATTTATATTGTGTTTTGATTTTTTAAACAGATTTCACACCACCACCAATGGGAGATAAGAGAGATGTTGTATTTCTCATTGACGGCACAACAGCAGGACGTAGCGAGTTTCCATCTATTCGTGACATGATAAGAAGAGTTGTGGACAGGTTGGATGTAGGACTAGACAGGGTCCGAGTTTCAGTGGTGCAGTACAGTGAAGATCCCAAGGCAGAATTCCTTCTTAATGCACACTCCACCAAGAATGAGGTGCGCCAAGCCCTGGGAAAGCTTAGAAGCAAAGGTGGAAATCTGCTTAACACGGGTCGTGCTCTTGAGTGGGTCTCCAAAAACATCTACCAGAGGTCTGCAGGAAGCCGTGTGGAAGAAGGGGTACCTCAATTCCTGATTCTGGTTACAGGAGGAAAATCGTCAGATGATGTGCACACACAAGCTGATCAGCTCAAGAGGAGTCAGGTTGCACCCCTTGCCATTGGCTCAAGGAATGCTGACATAAGTGAACTGCAAAGTATTTCCTTAAGGCCAGACCTTGCATTTTCTGTTGATAGTCTTCAAGAAATTTCAAGAGTGGAGCCACAACTTCTTAATTCAGTTGAAACAATATCAACATCTGACATCAGAAAGTATATACACACTGTGGAGACAGGTAAAACGTTTTCATGCTTGAACATTTTTTCAAAGCTAAAATTGGTTATCCAAGTTGTTCTTTTGTTTTCTTGATTTTAATAATGTTCATACTACTGTAGTGCTAGGATAAAAGGTCAACTTTTTTTCCATCTTTCACTTTTTTGTAATTGTACAGGAGTCACACTGGATCTTGGGAAAAAGGACATCATCTTCCTTATCGATGGCTCAGACACCACTGGTCCTGCTGGTATTGCTCATATTCGGGACTTCATCCTCAGCATTGTCCAACAGCTGGATGTGAAGCCTGATAAAGTGCGTGTGGCTGTTGTCCAGTATGCAGACAGAATGAAAACAGAGTTCTCACTTAATTCCCACAACAACAAGCAAGCTGTTATCTCTGCTATCAAAAGACTTCGTCAGATGGGAGGACGTTCCTCTTTACTAGCCAATGCCATTGATTATGTATTGGAGAATGAAGTAAAACCATCAGCCGGCGTTCGTCTTTCAGAGGCCTCCCAGCATCTTGTAGTCCTCACAGGTGGACCTTCCACACAGTCAGTTTCTATCTCTGGACCTCTGCTGAAGAACAAACGTGTGAACTGCATTGGTGTTGGAGGTGGTGATGCTGATGTAAATCAGCTGAGGCAAATAGCCACATCCTCTGAAGATGTTCTTAAAGTTCCTACACTCCCCAACCTGCCATCAGTAAAAGACAAGTTTATTGCCAGACTTATTGGGAGCACACAAATATTGCCAGACCCTGATCCTCCTAGTAAGTTACACAAACTTTACTTATTATGTCTCTGTGATTACAGAAAAATGCATCTGAAATCATTGTTTTAATAAATGCTTTAGGCTCAATAAATAAATGGACTCATAACTTATAAGATATAGAAAACTTACAATATGGTTAAGAAGACTAAGGCAGGAAAAACTTGTTCAGTAATTTAGTATGCAGTTTCAGAAGAACAAAAATAAGAGCACTCCACAAGGACCACAGTCTTTATAGTGAGTATTTGTTCTTTATGTTAGACAGTAGGTGTACATGGGACAGCAGTAATTAGAAGGTTGCAGGTTTGACCCCGGCTCCGGACAGAGAATCCTGTTGTTGTGTCCTTGGGCAAAACATTTAAACCACCTTTCCTGCTGGTGGTGGTCGGAGGGACTGGTGGCGCCAGTGCTCGGCAGCCTCGCTTCTGTCAGTGCGCCCCAGGGCAGCTGTGGCTACATCGTAGCTCAACCCCACCAGCGTGTGAATGTGTGTGTGAATGGATGAATGATACACTGTAGAGTAAAGCACTTTGGAGTCCTCTGACTGAAAGGCGCTATTCGAGTGCAGGTCATTTGTCATTATTTACATGATTTTATTTGACTACATTTTTAACAAACTATAGAGTGGTTACGCTGTGTACCATCTTCTACTTATCGTTTTAGTAATGGAGATGTTCTGCGAGAATTTGATGGAGAATATAATAGCATGCTTTTGATTCAAGAACAATGAATTTACTAAAAAAGTCAACCATAAATGAAGTTATTCAGCATGCAGGTCCAATTTAAAAGTTAAAGTCCCATTAGTTATCACACTAGTGTGTGAAATTTGTTCTCCACATTTGATCCATCCCCTGGGGGGGGGCGGTGAGCTGCAGATACAACCACACTAAGGGACCATTTGGAGGTTTGGGGGAAACCGGAGTACCCGGAGGAAACCCACGCATGCATGGGGAGAACACGCAACTCCACGCAGAAAGGCAGCCGAGTTTCGAACCTGCAACCTTCGTGCTGTGAGGCAACAGTGCTAACAACTGCGCCACCATGCAGCCCATCTGTTATGATGATATTCACTTGTTTTACATCAAATCATACATCTAATGGTCAAAACCACATAGAATCCCTCACCTGTCTGAGCTTGTCTCACTGTTTCAAGCTGCATTTCCTCGATTACCTGCTGTTGTTGGAAACTGTCGTTGCTCATATTTTATTCATGAAACCTTTGTGTCTCTCTCTGTCTGTTTTTCAGCGGATCCCAGTATTCCTATTAAAAAGGCTGATATAGTGTTTCTATTGGATGGATCCATTAAAGTGAAACCAGACAACTTCAAAACAGTCAAAGATTTCATAGTAAACCTGATTGATCTCTTCTACACTGAGAGAGACAACCTTCGGATTGGCCTTGCACAATATTCCACAGATGTGACTGATGCTTTTTATCTCAACACATTCAAAGACAGAGATTCTATTCTAGCTGCCATTGAACAAGTACAATACGACCGTGGAGGTAGACTCAACACAGGTGCAGCTATTAAACATGTTCAAGATGTCCATTTTACTAAGGCGAAAGGCAGCAGGAAGGATGAAGGAACTCCTCAGATCCTCATGCTTGTCACGGGAGGACGCTCAGATGATGATAGCAAAACAGCAGCCCTGAGTCTAAAAAACAAGGGTGTAAGAATCTTTGCTGTTGGAGTGGGGAACATCCAGGATGAGCTAGAGAACTTAGCAAGTCATTCTTCCACTGTGGCCCGCGCAGACAACTATCTGGGGCTGTCAGAGTTGAATGAACAAATCCTGGAGGCTTTGGATGACGAAATACGAGGGAAGTCATGTGTTGATGTGGGAGAAGAGGCTAGATGTGAGAAATTCTTCTTCTAACATACTTTATAGTGACGCTCATTTGTCTACAATGTTTTAGATGTTTTTACTAACATAAATTGAAGTACTACGTTGATGTTTTACAGCCTGCAACGTTGAGGTGTTGGTAGGCTTTGATGTGTCTGCACAAAACATCTTCACTGCTCAGACCAACCTCCAGAGCAAGATGGGTGCTATTCTGCAGAGGATTTCCAACATGGCATCTATCAGCTGCTCAGGTGGGCAGGAACCCACAGTTCAAGTGGGCTTGCTGGCCATGGATTCTGCCTCTCAGCCGGTTCAGTTAGACTTCACAAACAATCCTAATGAGCTTTTTGAGGACTTCAGAGCCCTACGGAGCCACGGCCCCTTTGTTCTTGATGGCAAGACAATCGCAGCTTACAACAACAGGTTCAAAGTTAGGCAGGACGACACTGTGAAGGTTGGTCACTAAACTTTCAGAGCCACTGTAATCTGCTTGTTTAATAATTCAAAGAAGATTTGAAAACTTAACTTCATATGTCCTCTTTCTCCCAAAGGTGATCATCCATTTGACTGATGGTCTTGATGCTCCATTATCTGAAATGAAGAAAAGAGTTGAAGAACTTCGTCGATCAGGTAAAAGAACAAACATGACACATCCGTCATAGACATAACAAGGATAAGCATGTTGTTGAACCACTTCCTCATCAGGAGTGAACAGCTTTATTCTGGTTGGGCTGGAGCGGGTGCAGAACTTCGAGGAGGCTTTGCTGTTGGAGTTTGGTCGTGGCTTTAGGTACACTAGGCCCTTAAGACTCAATGTCATGGACTTGGATTATGAGCTTATGGAGGAGTTGGTAAGTACTGTGACATTGGCATGTTAGAAAGGATATCTGCAATGTGTTTATTTTGTTTTCTTTCGTAGGACAATATTGCGGAGCGGGAGTGCTGCAGAGTGCCGTGTAAATGTACCGGTACCAGAGGAGACCGAGGAGCAGTTGGACAGCCAGGATCTAAGGGTAGTCCAGGGTTTTCTGGAAGCCCAGGGCATCCCGGCGATGAGGGAGGACCAGTATGTTTACTCTCCCATCCTTTATATATTTATTTTATTTGTTTGTCACCTGTATTTTGTTAATTTCTGTTCAAATGATGCAACTTTTTTTAATTTTCCTTAATTCCAGGGAGAAAGAGGTCCTCCCGGTGTGAACGGAACTCAGGGTTTCCAGGGATGTCCTGGTCAGAGAGGTCTGAAGGTAGTTTGAATGCATCTTTTATCATTCCTCTTAAAAAACAAAAGGCTGTTTTATTGCTGCAATAAAATGATTTCAAATGATTTCTTCTTCGTAGGGTTCCCGTGGGTTCTCAGGAGAAAAGGTGGGTGTTTTCCACAACTGTATAAGGAAATGTTATGTTGAAAATCTAATAGTCTGACCAAAGGCTGCTGCTTTTCAGGGTGAATTAGGAGAAATTGGACTTGATGGCATCAACGGAGAGGAGGTAAATGTGTCTTCCATTTAATTCTTTAGTTATGGTTAACTTACTGATAATATACGTCTGTGCAGAAATCCAGGCTAAAACTGTTGGTTTTAACATGTTTTCAGGGTAAAAGTGGAGTTGCTGGGCCTCCAGGTGATGGAGGAAACCCTGGCAGAAGAGTAAGAGAGTTCATGCAATTGTCTTTACTTTCCTATAAATGAAAATACTGGTATGATCATTGTTGCTTTGTTCATTTTTAGGGACCAAAAGGCAGCAAAGGACAAGCAGGAGACATAGGAGAAAGAGGAATCAGAGGAGATCCTGTAAGTAATCGTCACATGATAATGGTTTCAGACTTGTGCTAAGGCTGTGCTTGTCTGAATTAAAAACAAACGTATCTCAATTAGTCAGGTTTTCTTGTAAATGTGATCCTTGTCTGTTTAACAGGGAACGAGTGGACGGGATAACAACCAGGCAGGACCTAAAGGAGATCCTGGAGATGCTGGACCAGTGGTAATGCTACTCTAGATCTACATAAAACACATTTGATAAGTTTAGTGTTATAAATGTTGGTTTGACTGGAATTTGTTTTGTTGTGATAGGGAGTTCCTGGAGAGGATGGGCGGAACGGAGTGCCCGGAGAAATCGGAAGGAGGGTAACTAACTGTTGTGTTATAAATCTGTTTTTCTTTTAAACCCAATCTAAACTTCATACCTGATTTATTATTAGGGACTGGATGGCAGAAGAGGCCCACCTGGACCACCTGTGAGTCTCTTACTCTGTGATAAAGTATTTCATTATCGTTTGTGTGGAGTTGCCTGTAGCTGTAACATTTCTGGGATTGTTTTCAGGGTCGTCCAGGAGCTGCAGGAGACCGAGGTCTGCCGGGCCAGGCTGGTGTTGCAGGATCCAGAGTGAGTTTGTCACTTTATCTTCTGTTATGGCAGATTGTATGTTTATGATACATGCAAACATACATGTGATCTATATTTTTCCTTTTATGTGACAAAAGTATGACTTCCGTCATTAATTCAGCATCTCACCAAACTGTAATTAACAAATTATTCACAAAAATGCTCTTTTCGAGTTCCCGTTAGTTCTGAGGCTTCATGAAGCTACCTCCTAAGATCCTCAGTTTTCCAAATCCCACCCTGTTTCGCTCCTCCTCCATTCTTCTTCATCACCTCTCTTTTTGTTTCTCCAGCTCCTCCAAAGTTTTTCATATTTCAGATAAAAAAATGGGTTTTAGACTTCTCTAGCAACTGGATTTAGAGAATTTTTTCCGTGCAGTTTTAATGACATGTCAAAATCTGCAACTTTAGAGCACAAGAAAGTTGTAAACAAGTCATCCGTTTCCTCCTTTAAGGGTAAAGGAGGACCAATCGGTACTCCAGGACCAAGAGGTGAAGATGGAAATCCTGGACCAAGAGTGAGTAAACCTAAATGTTTGCCCTCTATGGATAAATCACTACAAACGTAACCTTGCTGTCCTGTTGTTAATTCTGCAGGGTTCTGGAGGAGTACCAGGTCCAGCTGGGGAGAGAGGTAGAAAAGGACCGCTTGGTCGTAAGGTACCGTTTCATTTCTAAACACACTGGTCCGGGCCAAGTTCTCTCAGATTACTGGATACACATTTTGAGTCTTTTTGTTCAAACAGGAAGAAGACGAAGCTTTAGTTGTATAAAATCTGAAGAACTTTATTAAATTAGCAGAAGTGGACCTGACACATTAAAGGAACATTTTAAATTTATAGTATTTTTTTCTTTTCTGCCTTCTCTTGATTTTCTGTTTCTAATGGACTCTTGTAGGGAGAACCAGGAGACCCAGGACCGAGTGGAGCTATTGGGCCCCCTGGCCCCCATGGAGAGCCTGTAAGAAAAAAGTCACATCTCACTTCCCATTTCTGCTGAGTAAGATAAACACTGTTACACAAATCAAAAGGCCTGATTTGGCCAAATGATCTGGGTGAGTTTATTGGAAGCAAAGCTTTAAGCCCATCTGAAGTTTACTTTTTAGTTTTCCATTTGTGATATTCAAAATAGGCTGGACGATATAGAAAAAAGTATATCAATAAACATTTGTTATATTGATTGTTCAGGGACGAAATTTTGATTTCAGAAGTGGGGGGGACACAGCAGGCTTGTGCGGATTTGGGGTGGGGGGTGTAATGTAAAGACCCCTTGACACGTCACGTGCCCATCTCAATAATTTTTCCATCCTCTCTCTCTCTCTCTCTCTCTCTCTCTCTCTCTCTCTCTCTCTCTCTCTCTATATATATATATATATATATATATATATATATATATATATATATATATATATATCAAAGTTAAAAAATGTACAACTCTATTATTATTTTTATTTATTATCATTATTGAAGTGCAGTTTTGGCTGTTGACAATGGATAGGCCATTGTATTTATTGTTTTGGGTCTTTTTTTATTGTTTTTGGTACAACATTTTCTAACAGGGAGTGAGATTCCTTTTTTATTCAATTTTTGTTTGTTATTTTTATTCATTTAGAAGTTCTGGTTCTGGACATTTCAATGTTAAATGAAGGTTTATTTGTTGCATTTTAAAGGGTGTACTTGCATTATTATGATATATTAACATTATATTAGTGGTTATTTTGGTCTAGATAATGTTGACAATATCGTTTATCATCAACAATTTGTTGGACAAAATATCGTCCAGCAAAATGTGTTACTTTCCCAGGCCTAGTCAAAAGTATAAAAATTATTTATACATAAACGGTCCCTCCTGAGATCTGGCCGTTTGTTCATTTGCTGTGTTAGAGGACATGCTGAACTAACGTTTTACACATGATCATCACCCTAACATTTGAGTGTATAAAAACATATTAAATATGTTTTTTCCCTTAAAAGTGTTTAAACAGTTGTTGCATTTCAACACACAAAAAATAAATGGAAAAAATAAGATAAATCTAATGAAAAGTGTACATCTTTGACATTAAGCTTAAAAAAATCTGTTGACGATGATGATACTGTTCATTTTTCAGAGCTTTTTAATGTGAAAATATACATTGCAATAGATAAGTTTACAATAAAGTTAAATGATAAAAGTTTTGAAGTTACACTTCTACCACTACCACTACTAGTAATAATAATTATGAAGATAATAGTAATAATAAAAAATAATTATTATAATAATACGAACAAATTGTGTCTGAGGAGTCAGTTATGTGGAGGAGATTAGTTTGTAAAAGTTAGTTTTGAGTATGTGTGTGAAGGAGGAGGTGAGTCTGAGCTTAATGCAGGTCTGTCACATGTCCAACTTACGTTTTGACTTTGAAAGACGTCTCTTATATCCACTTTTCGTTTTCTTGACATGCTGCCTCCTGGCTGTGCCTAACTACCAAAGACTCACAAATGAACACTTATTCAAATGTTATGTAATGGAAGCTGAGCTGAGCTCTGATATTACACAGCGTCTAGTTGACGATGTGACTCAGTACCGGTGTTCCCTAGCGGCTCCAAACTAGCAAAACAACGTGAGCACGTTCTGACTGTTTACAACTTGAGTGACAGCAGCAACAGCCAATAATACGTTAGCAAGTATCAGCAGAGCCAATAGATTAGCTTTTGGGCGGGTCTAATAGTAAACCGGTTTCCGTTTCGGTCCTAGTGCTCAAACAAATCCATTTAATGGAGCGTAACATTGTTTTTGGACGGAAAAAAGTGCAGGGGACCAAAACAGCCTTTTGAAAAAGTGGGGGGGACATGTCCCACCCGTCCCCCCCCAAAATTACGTCCCAGTGATCGATATAATGATTGAAACAAATGTTAACAATTGTAGAAAATATATTTACGTGCAACCCTGGCCATTTTATTTTTAAAATTTGTATTTTGTCTCTGCCTCTTCTCGCTGCAGCATCTTTAGGGCTGCCACAGATGACTATTTTAGTAGTCGACTAATCGTGTCATTCATAAAGGTTTAGCTTATTGCACCAGGACGCTCTAAAATACCATCATTAGCTTCTGAAGTGTGATCAGCTATGAGCCATCTAATTATAAAGACAAGATGATAGCTTATCAAACAACTTAACTTTGTAACCTGTTAATACAAATGCTGCAGTCAGGTGGAGATAAGCACCTAAAACCCTAGACATCTTGCTGCCTCATGCTCTGTTTTGGTTTGAGAGGGGAGGGCCTGGTGACGTGGCGTGCCCGAGTCTGTGATTTCGATTGGTTAGGAGTAAGTAGTGAGTCTAGTATGCTGCTACCTGATAGCTTCTAATGATAAAAGGAAACTTTTTTTATCAAAGTTTTATCTACCAATTAATTTTTCTATCGCACCATATGTCTATCGATAGATATATTGATCTATTGAATTATCATCCAGCCCTAATTCAAAATCTATAAGATATAATAAAAGATCAATATTTTTGAGTATGTCAGGGTATCTGCAGGTTTAAGGGAGCCAAATTTAAGACTTTTTAAGACCTTTTTAAGGACACTTTGACCAAAATTAAGCTATTTTTCTGTTTAATTAAATGTAAGCTATAATTTCCAGCTATTGCCTGGAACTGGTGCTAACCACATCGTGAACGTGGGATTAGCCATCCAGTTATCATTAATGTTGCACTTTCCCATGGCGCAAACTCCTACTAGCGTGCTCCTCTAAAAATAGCCCCCTTTCACAACCAACCGAATGTGTACGGTTCCACTTATGCCAATATCGTACACAAAAATGCTGAAATAACTAGAAATTCTCGAAAATTTTATAGAAATAAAAGAATCTTGTTTATTGGGTCTTTGGTAATTTAAGACCTTTGGAAACTATTTAAGGATTATTTGTAATTTTTAAGGATTTTTAAGGCCTTAAATTTGGAAAAGCAAATTTAAGACTTTTTAAGGACCTGCAGATACCCTGGTATGTGTGCATGTGATTAGTGTTCAGACATGTTTTTGTCCCGTTTTCCCACGCAGGGTGCAGATGGTAGAGACGGGCCTGGTTCTCCAGGTCCAAAGGGAAGAAAGGTGAGGGCTCTATGATACCACAGATACAAACCTTATTGCCTGATACAGTCAAACATAAATGATCTAGAACCATTTATTGCAATAAAATAAAACTGTTTACTGCACATTTTTTACAGGGTGATATAGGTTTCCCCGGATTTCCTGGACCTAAGGTAATGAAAACACAGGATTATAAATTCAAATGAGAACTGAATTAGTAATAAAATTAATCTTCATATTTTATTTTTTACCTTACTATTTTAGGGAGCAGCTGGAGATCCTGGCACCCGAGGTGGACCTGGACCCAGAGGAAACCGGGGACAGAGAGTAAGTTTTAGGTCCTTTGTTAATGTTTTCTGGGTCAAATCTTGACCCAGTTCTTTTCTCTGTGAATAATTATATAATGCCGTTGTTGGTACAAGATTGGCTCGGGTGCATGATCGGCTCGGGGTCCTTCGACTGCCGTTGACGTCAAAGTAGTTGATTGGCTGAACATGAAGCTTACGGAAGTTACGTTATCACGTTATGATTTTGATTGGTCAGAACAAATTTGCGGTCGTAGTCTTAGCGGTTGTAGTCCTGTAATCCAAAAATCAACAGTTGTTGGAGAAAATATGTTTGAATTTCCAAAGGAAATGTAAAATATAAGCAAATGATAAACGGTGACCCTCAAAAGCTCTTCATGTTGATGAAATGGGGCAAAATAAAATATAAGTACTTTATTGAAATACACCAAGCTATATTTTGAATCAAAGAATGTATTTAGATAACAACTAAGGAAATATACAGATGAACTCCACATTAATACAAACAGATGTGGCTTCACATATAAGAAATGTTCTATTTTCTGTCAGTCCGATGTAGGGCTGCTCAATTAATCAAATTTTAATCCCAATCACAATCTGAGTTTTGAACGATTTAAAAACAAAACAAGCAGATTATTTGCCCCTCCCACTTGCGCTGCCCTGAGTTGCAATTGAAGCGCTCCTTCTAGGGTGTTGCCAACTTGGCGACTTTGACACTATTTCTAGCAGCTTTTCAGACCCCCTTCTTGACTTTTTAAATCCTAAAAGTACCTAGCGAACACCTCAGAAACATCTCTGGTAACACTTAGCTACTTTCTGGATAACTGTCGTCGACATTTCCTGCAGGTTAGCTAAACACTCCGCCTGCGCTCCGGACCGTTCTTCAGGACATTAGGAAAGGGAATGATGTAGTGATGTGTCAGTCGCTAAAGAAACGGCTCTCGGAGCCGGCTCCCTGTTGGAGTAACCAGAGTGAGTGACACACACACCGTACCTGCGGGCTCCTGAGCTGCTAAAAACAGCTAAATGTGCGCGTGCGGTGTGTTAAACACACGTGCAGCTTGCCCCTGATTGCTGTGAGACCAGGTTGGGGGGTGGGGGGTGCAGCTGTGGTTGGGACAATTATTACATTAACTGATGGACTTGTAAATAAATAGTTTATAAATAAGGTAGAAATAGATAGAAATAAGTTCCTCACGCTGATAAATAATAACTAATCTCTCTGAGGACATGGTGCCAGTCAGGGCCAGATTAACACTTCGTTGTACCCTGGGCAACAATATTAAAGGGCCCCATCATCACGACCCAAGGATCACCATAATATGGTCACATACAGAATATTTTACTGTAATATGCAGTAAATATTCTCAATACGGGGGGGGGGTCATTTTGCCTTCGCCCCCAAAATGTCTTGAAACGGCCCTGGGTGTGTGACTGAGTGTTGAAGGTGATTTGAATTGTATCAGATGTATAAATATTACATGTGTATAACTTATTGTTTTACACAGGTAGAAACGTGTAGTGGAGATAAATCTACCTACATTTTACTTTTCAACACTTTGTTTAGTTTTCTTGTTTTTATTTAACGATTTTCCTGTCCTGTCTGTCTCTCATCTTCCTGCATCTCCTCTAAACTCTCCAGAAAAACTGCTGCCTGGATTCTTACTTTTTCACCTCATCAGTTACTTTTAAACAGATCAAAGATTTCATGACCACAAAGCGGAGTGTGCCTTTCGATGCTGCGTCAGTGAGGTGAAATCACCGCAGCACAGGTGATGAGCTCCGCAGCAGCAGAGCGCTTCAGGCACAAATAAGACAGAAAATAGAGAACATGTGCGGACATGAACGATCATGTGCTAATTATAGTTTTTTGGTTGCGCCACTTTGAGAATGGACCGTGCGCTGGAAACAGCAGCCTGGAGGGCTGCGCAACAACGCAGCGCTGTGCCGCTCTCTGTGCTCTCTGCTCAAAAGAGTCCATAAATGATGTAATATAGGTAGAAAAAATTTTTCCGGCTTCCCTGGATGTGTAGGATATACAGCTTCCCCATAATTTGATCCCTGGCTGCTGCTCCTGCAAAAGCCGGACATTTTCATCAATACAAGAACCCCCAGTCCGGACGCCCCGGACAGAGAGTGAAAAGTGGACATGTCCGGGGAAAACAGGACGTATGGTCACACTAGTTTAATATAAAGCAGGAGATTACAGATACAGTATTTTGCTCGTGCCCTTGCTGCCCTGGGCCCTTTAGAGTTTGTGGGCCCTGGGCAATTGCCCAGTTGCCCATATGGTTAATCCGGCCTTGGTGCTAGTGCACTCTCCTACAGCACCTTGACATGACTAAATACATATTATGCAAAATTTTGTGAACATAAATTTATTTGCAGTTATTTGTTATAAATGCCACTGTATAATTCTTGCTGTCAGTATTTGCAAGATATTGGTATTTGGGTCTGTACTGGTTACACTTAAATGAGTTAAACCAACGTCTGTAGCCCTTGGGTCATAGAATAAGTATATTGGTCTTTTTATACTGGGAATTAGAGCCCTGCACTGAAGCCTAGGCCCTCGGGTCGGCCCGGCCCGACGGCCCGACGGCCCGAGGGCCGGGCTTCGGGCCAACGACTGTGCAATTACCTCGGACACGGGCCGGGCGCCTTTATTTTTAATCAAAATCATTAAAAAAATTAAAACACTTAAACGCAGCAGTAGAGCCCTGCGCGGGACTGTTTTCTTCATCCCGCTCCGGCTGAATTTCGGACCATTACCGCCTGCAACCGCAACGTGTGTGTGTTACACTCCCACCCGCACCTGCAGCGTACATGTCTACTCCCGCCCGCAACAGCAAAACTCGGAGAAATTATTACCTCACAATAAAAGAGATGCATTGAGTTTGCGTCCTCAACATGTCATTTTATAGGCTATCCGCTTTCACCGCAGCGCTGCGCTCCGTTTCAATCAGGCTGTACAGCAGGATTTCCCCTCATAGCGATATTTCCTCTAACTCTGATTGCTTCATGCTATAGATCGTTGGAAAGCTGCTTTTATGTACTTTTAGGAAACGTTGGAATTATTTGAATCCGATCAGCTATTCAAAAGTTATAAAACGGAGCATTTGGGATGACAAACTCGCACGTCTCTGAATCTGTGTTGTGATTCGTTGCGCTCAAGACAGGGAATCCCGGTGGCTACCGTAATGTATTGTATGTGCACGAAAAGCCCCATTTTTAATCTTTTCAGCACTTTTGGAATTTTAATGATATCTTGAACTAGAGCAGGGATCGGCAACCCGCGGCTCTTCCATCCATCTGATGCGGCTGAATGGATATTTAAATAAAATGCTTTATATTTTACTGAATTAATTTTATATCTGTAAGTCAATTCTATGTGAAGATTGTCTGCGTAAACCTGAACAGACCCAACCCAGTCTTACTGTGAGTCCGTGTTGGGTCACGCTTGTGCGTAATCATATGCGCTTATATGAGCTGAAGAGGATGTGAGATTCTGGGATTCTCCTCAGATGGCTCCTGGATGTGTCGCACATTGGAGACAGGAACAAACGCTATTCAGCCAAAGTTTCATAATCAGGGAACATTTTCTAAGTGACAAGTCTCTCTGAGTGACAGGGTTTGGAAAACACTCGCTTCAGTGGGAGGAAGCTTCCCGCATGCGCTTCTGCGACGCTCGGATCCTGCACGTCTTTTAACACATTGGTAGGGATTGACGCACTTTGTTTTCATTTAGTTGGTTAAAAAAAAAGTCGGGCTTGGGCTCGGGCCGGGCCAGAGAATCCTGAAAACCTTTTCGGGCCGGGTCGGGCTGGGGCTCCACCCTCTCGGGCCGGGCCGGACACAGGCTCAGATTTTAGGCCCGTGCAGGGCTCTACTGGGAATCAGGAGTTATTTTAGTGATCATCTTGTTTTTTGTTTATTTTTGTCCTGATTGTGCCCTGAAAAATTTTATGACTGAATAAAAACAAATAAAATCAACATAAATTGAAAACTCATCTTAAATAATCGAGATCTCAATTTCAGTCACAATAATCGTGATTATTATTTTTGCCATAATCGAGCAGCCCTAGTCCGATGTTGGTTTTATGCAGTTTCACATTCTTTACAAAACAAAGATAACATGGTGTTTTATTAACAAATTACAATTATAAAGAAAACATTTAGGTGTTAACAAACAAGAATTTATTAAAGGGACTTTACGGAGTTTTGAATTTTTATGCTCGCGATTGCCCCCTCAGGCCAAAAGCGTAACGGCAGCTTCAATAGTAGGCTTGTGCACGAGGCGCGCATGCTGTACGTGCACACTCCTTAATGAAAATAACAGCTGAGACAGTCCCTTGTGTGTGTGTGTGTGTGTGTGTGTGTGTGTGTGTGTGTGTGTGTGTGTGTGTGTGTGTGTGTGTGTGTGTGTGTGTGGGGCCCGGAGGACAGAGGACAGGAGAACGCGCAGCTAATTAATTAAATAATTTGGTTCTGTACCTTTCTCTTCAGCACAGCCGACAAAGGTTTATGATGGGTCAGTCCTCCTGCATGCTCAGATCATTCCCTTCCCTTGCTTGAAAAATTGTTCCAAAATGAAAGTTGAACCCACATCTTTTTTATCTGTGAATTCAATGCCGTTCGGCGAGTCTCAAATAAAAATTTGGGCATCTTACTGTAAAAAAAATACCATTAATGTAAAAAATAAACTCTGAATAAACTATGTTCACATCCAGAATCAAACCCAGGTCTTCTGCACGAGAGCCCGACGTCTTTCTAGGCGAGCTACAGCACCAGTGATGTCTTTTGTCTCTGTATCATTTATATCCTTGATAACGTTCAAAAAAGGGTTCGGAGCGAAAATGGCTATTTTGTTGCTAATTTGCAGGAAATATCTAGAAGAAAGTAGCTAAGAGTCCTCAGAAATGTAGCTAGCTTTGTCACTAGGCGTTAGGAACAGCGACAAAGTCGCTGAGTTGGCACTGCCTCTCTCTTTGCTGCTAAAGCTACGGATAGCAAATGCTACGGGCTATGCCTGAGCGTGAACGCGCATGAAGCAGCCTGCTCGACCCGAGCATCTCTCTTTTTCTGTGATTTTACAGAAAAACAGGCAATCACAGTAAAAATGCCAGGGCTCATTCTACAGGACCAGGGCATTGCAGGAGAATGTATGAAGAAGACATTTATTAGTTCTATACATGTTTTGGCTGTCAAACTTCCATAATGCCCCTTTAACAAAACTGCTGATGTCTTTCCAAAACGTATGTGTGAAAGCCGAGTAGATTTGCAGTAATGTGACGTCATCAGCGGGCGCTGGACCCCGAGCCGATCTGGCACCTGAGCAGATCCTGTACCGACACTGTAAATGTGACCTATGTCATATTTTGGTCTTTCCCTGCTACTTTTACAGCAGTCTGATTCAAGTATTTGAAAATATGAGCTGACCGGAAAGGGAGGAGACTTAAAGAGCAAGTCACCCCCTGCCAGATTCTTACTCAACTCCCACTTCCTGTTTGAAAAATGCAACAAATGCTGTTGCCTAGCAGACCAAGAGGGCGGAGCCTCTAACATATACACACACTCACGACATTGTGACATCATAATGTACCATCTAACATCATAGTGTACCCCTTAGCCAATAGCGATGGCGGATTTAAATTCAAATGCAGTGCAGAGTTTTTGCCTGACAATGGTGCATCGCTGACAGTTTTAGGCAGAATATTTAAATTTTAACTAAGTTGCACTAAAGTGCCGAATTATTGAATACATTGGTCTACAGCACAATCGGACACTCATTTATATAGTTTATCAGCAAAAAAAATGGTGATTGGGAGTGACTTGCTCTTTAAGCCTGGGGCATACTGAAGACAGACGCACAGCAACCTCATTGTAAAAAGCCGCCATTATAGTTACTGAGAGTGACTACACTGGAAGCGCAATGCCGATTCCCACAAGTGCCGGTCTGCGCCGAGGTGCTGAAGATAGGTGCCAGTTCTTTTTGAAGCGCCGTGAATGCAAGTCAACGGGGCTAAAAGAGCTTTTTTCTAATCCGCTTTGCCTTACACCCTGGATATGCTGTACTGCAATTTAAATGAAAAGTAACAATGTGTGTTTTGATCACACCAGTCAAGTCCTTTGAAATTTATCAGCTTGAAAAAGTTTGTAATAGGGCTGGGCACAATGGCCTGAAATCAATATCACGATATATTGAGGATTTCACCTTGATAACGATAAATAGACGATAACTACAGGTATGTGCAGAAGCAAAAGTTGTCCTGACTCAAGGTGGTACAGCTTCTTGAAGGGTCATGAACGTTGCCAACCTACACACATCTTTTCTTTATTTATGTTTTAGCAAATTTATTGACATCGTAAAATTATCTCAATAAGAGTCAGAAATTTCGATACCGATAAATTTTCGATTTATTGCCCAGCCCTAATTTGTAATCAGCATGACTACAAATCGGACGTCGGTATGTCGCATATATGATATCACCACAGACTCTCCTTTAGCATAGCTGCTACTTACCACATGGCCAGATTTATGGTGGTTCTTTCCTCCTGAAAGAAGGATTTGAAGTTTGTTGAACTTACAGGCATTTTCCCTCTGGTTTTCTCCGTGTCTGGTTCAGTGATGTCACACTGGTGATGCGCATTTATAGTCCTGGACTTATTTTCACATAAAACCTAAAATAAAGTTCAGCAAACTTCTCACAGGAGGAAAGAACCACCATAAATCTAGTCATGCGGTAAGTAGCAGTTACGTTAGAGAAGAGGAGATTCTGTGGCGATGTCACATATGCAACGTGCCGATCTCTGGTGTGTAGTCATGCTGATTACAAACTTTTACAAGCTGATGAATCTCAAAGTATGTGACAGTGTGGTCGAAACACCCATAATTACTTTTCAATTAAATAGCAGTACAACATGTGTGTGATCCAGGGCCTAAGGCAAAGCCATGGGTCTCTGGAAGAATGAAAATATAAACGCAAGTTAACGAAGCTAAAAACACTATTTTCTAATCTGCTTGCCTTAGGTCCTGGATCACACATATGTTTTACTGCAATTTAAATGAAAACTAACGATGGGTGTTTCGACCGCACCTGTCATGTACTTTGAGATTTATTAGCTTGTAAAGGTTCGTATTTAGCATGACTACAAACTAGAAATCGGCACATCGCATATGTGACGTCACCACATAATCTGGTCTCCCCTGGCGTAGCTGCTACTTACCACATGACCAGATTTATGGTGGTTCTTTCCTCCTGTGGGAAGTTCGCTGAACTTACAGCCCTTTTTCCTCAGTTTTCTCAGTGTCTGGTTCAATGACATCACTTTCGTGAAGCACATTTGTAGTCCTGGACTTATTTTCACACAAAACCTAAAATAGTGTTTTCCCCTATTCAAAAAATAAGCACGTTCTTAGTATGTGTGACAAAATGTGTCTTTAAAATTCACAGACATGATATGTGAAATCCATGGCACAAAACAAGCGGAATTAGAAAATGGCATTTTTAGCCCTGTTGACTAGCATTAATGTTTCGTTCTTCCAGGGATCCATGGTCCAGAAGTGACTTGGGCTCCCTATTGGAAGGGTTTGTTTATTTGTTTCCAGGAGAGGGCAGTGCATGTCCGACCTAGCAGAAGCTAACCATTATCGTTAGCAACTTGGGTGATCAAATGTAGCATACCAAAAGTCAAATCTGTGTGACCTACTTTCTAATTATACTAATTATTTACTTTCTGTAAATTAGAAAAGAAATAAAAAGGTGGGAGGTAACTCCTGTTCTGAGCTTCTGTGATAACGTGTGACATGGTAGCCACTCAAATTTTCCAGCCCACTTCAGCTTCAGTAAACCCTATGCTGGTGTAGCCGAGCCTCTGTTAGCACTAGCCAGAGCTGTTAGCTTCAGCTAGCAAAAGCCCTGTTGAAGGAGAGAAAAACAAGCACTCACCACTCAGGTTCCAGGATATACTGGTAAAATCCAGACTTTACATGAATGCCAGATAGATCCACAGCTTGCGGTCCGGTACTTTTATTTCTTGTTCGCCTGCAACCCTTCTACAGGCAGCCGGTCTCACACACAAACACTAATTCTTGACTCATCGCCTGAGTGGGGACTTTTTTCTTACAACTTTATTTAACAAACCAAAAGCAAACAAACACAAATGTATACAGAACACGCGCCAGCGTACAAAATATCAATTTAAAAAAAGAAAGAAAAGGATCTTTTATAGAGCCTCTCGTGATAAAAATCCCGGTCACAAGAAGAAACATTTCTAAATACAAAAAATCTTCAAAAAATGATTAAAAATATGGTTAAAATTAGAAGAAGAAAATATTAAAAAGAATTGTGATTTTAAAATGCAAGGAAAGGGAGATAGAAAATGAATAGGGAAGAGGGAAATCAGTGGATCGCAGGAAAGGCGGTGTGGGTACAGGATCGGCTCGGGTGCAGGCCGGCTCGGGTCCTTCGACTGCGGATGACGTCACATTACTGCTAATCTACTCGGCTTTCACACATAAGTTTTGGAAAGACATCAGCAGTTTTGTTAATAAATTCTTGTTTGTTAACACCCAAATGTTTTCTTCATAATTGTAATTTGTTAATAAAACACCATATTATCTTAGTTTTGTAAAGAATGTGAAACTGCATAAAACCAACATCGGACTGACAAAAACTAGAACAGTTCTTATATGTGAAGCCACATCTGTTTGTATTCATGTGGAGTTCATCTGTATATTTCCTTAGTTGTTATCCAAATACATGCTTTGACTCAAAATATTGCTTGGTGTATTTCAATAAAGTTCTTATATTTTATTTTGCCCCATTTCATCAACATGAAGAGCTTTTGAGGGTCACCGTTTATTATTTGCTTATATTTTACATTTCCTTTGGAAATTCAAACACATTTTCTCCAAAAAGTGTTGATTTTTGGATTACAGGACTACAACCTACAACCGCTAAGACTACGATCGCAAATTTGTTCTGACCAATCAAAATCATAACGTGATAACGTAATTTCCGTAAGCTTCATGTTCAGCCAATCAACTACTTTGACGTCATCGGCAGTCGAAGGACCCCGAGCCGATCCTGCACCCGAGCAGATCCTGTATCAACAGCGGTATTGGTAGAAAGAGCAGAATACAGTCACACCAAGCCTGAACAGGTGGGTCTTCAGCTCGGGGTATCTGCGGGTCCTTAAAAAGTCTTAAATGAGCTTTTCCAAATTTAAGGCCCTAAAAATCCTTAAAAATGACAAATGATCCTTAAATACAGTTTCCAATGGTCTTAAATTACCAAAGACCCAATAAACAAGATTCTGTTATTTCTATAAAATTTTTGTGAATTTCTAATTAGTGTTCAGCATTTTTTGTGTATGATGTTGACATAAGTGGAACCGTACACATTCAGCTGGTTGTGAAAGGGGGCTATTTTTAGATGAGCACATTAGCTGGTTAAGCTAGTGGGAGCTTGCGCCATGGGGAAGTGCAAGTTTAATGGTGACTGGATGGCTAATCCCACGTTCACGATGTGGTTAGCATCGGTTCCAGGCAATAGCTGGAAATTATAGTTTAAATTAAATTTAAAAAATAGCTTAAATTTGGTCAACGTGGCCTTAAAAAAGGTCTTAAAAAGTCTTAAATTTGGCTCCCTTAAACCTGCAGATACCCTGTCAGCTGCTTTTTAAAGGAGACCACTGAGTCCACTGATCTCATGCTCAGGAGAAAGAGGTCCAGAGTCTGGGGGCCACAGCAGCAGATGATCTGTCACCTTTGGTCTTTAGCCTGGTGCTGCACAACCACTAGGCTTTGGTCACTGGACATCAGGGACCTACTGGAGGTGTAGGGACTAAGAAGATCACTAATGTATGATGGTGCTTGTCCATGTAAGGCCCTAAAACCAGAAGGGGCGCCATTCTTTCACCCCTTAAACATTATTTTCAACCCCTATATTGTTATTTTCCCACTTCAGAGGGGAAGTGAACATTTTGTCATTTCATCTACTCTTTACAGGGTGTATCTGGGAATGAAGGCTCACCAGGACAGCGGGGAGAACCTGGATATCCTGGACCTTATGTAAGTACCTGGAGCTGGGAATGATGCCTCATGAAGAAAAATTATACTGGATAGGACTTGTAAGGAGGTGTTTCCTGCAAGTAGCATTATTATTATTATTATTATTATTATTATTATTATTATTATTATAGTTGTTGTAGAAAAAATATATTAATAAAAGTGTTCATTGTATAAACAAGAAAGATTAAGTTTACAAAATTTTTATTGGATTTTTAATGGGGAATAAAAATCAAACATAATTCTAAACAAACAGAAAAATCAAACAAGCATAAAATTAAAAGGAGAAACAGCTGAGTGTGTGGTTGTGAAAGTCAAACAACGGATGTAAAACAAACTGAAAACTGTGATGAAGCTGTAATGCAGCGGGAGAAACCCCCCAGACAACTGATTAAGTCAAATCAAAGACAATGGCTTCTTGGTAAAAAGAACCTGAAAACGACTTTATTCCCAACCAAAAACGCTGCAGCACCAGTAATCAAACCAAACCCTGATAACATCAACATGATCAGCAGAGGAACCTGCCGGTATCAAGTTCATTGATTACAAACTCTGTCTGATCTGTAGAGTCCCACACTCCCTCGCCCCACCACCGCTAAATGTAAAAGGAATTTTAGTTCAGTTTGTTTTTATAGACAAGGACAGCACAAAAGACAAAGTTACATATAAGGGCAATGCAGCCGTTGTTCTGTACAGAGGTTTTCTAGCCAGAGGCTAATTAGCAAACCTAGTCCTTGGTTGGACTTTTAGAGACAATCAAATAACAGCATTTACAACATTTATCACCACACACACACACACACACACACACACGCATGCACGCGCATGCACGCGCACACACACACACACACGCATGCACACACACACACACACACACACAATCAGGACAGGGCCACGCGAGCTACAACTGTGGAATAGATTCCCTCAAACTCAGAGAGTGTTCTACATTCAACTCTTTTAAGGCACAGGTCCAACACTGGTTATGTGCTCATCTGTAGGCCCGGCATCATTTAAATGTTTTAATGATCTTTTAGGAAGACAGAACTGTGTGTGTGTGTGTGTGTGTGTGTGTGTGTGTGTGTGTGTGTGTGTGTGTGTGTGTGTGTGTGTGTGTGTGTGTGTGTGTGTGTGTGTGTGTGTGTGTGTGTGTGTGTGTGTGTGTGTTATGTAATTGTGTGAACTGGCCCTTTGGGACTGCAGATGGAAATTAGCCCTTGGCCAGAATAAAAACAAAGAGCATGAGCTGTCAGACACCTGGACACCTGTTGGTTCAGATCCAGATGTTAGTCTGTCTCTTTAACTAGTAATGCAACACTTTTTCTACCTGAAGGGCTCCAAAGGACCCAGAGGACCAGGTGTTGTGGTGAGTCCAGCTTTAAGGAAATGTTTCTTAAGAAGACACGTCTGCCTTGACTGATTCCTGTTCTCTCTTGTTTCCGTCAGCAATGTGACCTGGTTAAGAAGATCAGAGACAACTGCCGTGAGTATTTTTATTCATAGCTTAGAAATGTGAGGAAGTTCTTGCGAGGTGATGGAGTTAAAACATCTAAACACATATTTTGTACTTTTCTCCATTAGCTTGCTGTTATGGTGAGTAAATACCATATTTTTAATGAACATTGACGTTTGGCACCTGCAGTTTTCCCTGTTGCTGTTCAGTAAACCAGATGTTTATGTTTATTAGGTCAGCAGGAATGCCCCCTCTACCCCACCGAGCTGGCCTTCGCCCTGGACATCTCTCAGAGCGTCGATCGCCCAGTTTTCAACAACATGCGTAACACGGTGGCTCACCTGGTCAGAAACATGACCATCGCTGAGAGCAACTGTCCGAGAGGAGCTCGGGTTGCTCTGACCCTCTTTAGCAGCGATGTGATCACAGAAATCCGGTTTGCTGATGCCATTAAGAAACGTGCGCTGGTGGAGCGGATCGAGGGTCTCCAGAATCCCAGGTCCACCAAGGCTCAGAGCCTGGACACCGCCATGAGCTTTGTGGCCCAGAACACGTTCAAAAGGGTGCGCAGTGGTTTCCTAATGAGGAAAGTGGCAGTCTTCTTTGTTGGTCCTC